TTTCCTCAGGGACATTTTTTTCACGGAGAATTATTTCAGGGGGACGTTTTTCAGGAAAGGATTTTTTCCAGGGGGGATTTTTTTCCTGCTTCGTAAGACGTAATTGTAAATATCTTTTATGTTTGATTTCACACAAAATGATAGGTGTTTTATCCTCAATATTATAGTTTAATATTAGCAAGTTCCACAGTTTAATATTATGTGAAATTAATATATAAAGTTATATATTATTAAACTATATATATTAAACTATATACAGTACTGGAAAAATTATTATGGATTTTTAAAATACATCGTTATTTCGGACTTAAGGCATTACTAAAACACAATTTGTTCATTAGTTCATAACCAAAAATGATTTATTTACACGTATTACACATTTTTATACATTTTAATACTTTGTTTGGCCACCTTTCGCAAGAATTAAAGCTTTTACACGATGTGGCATGCTCTCAATCAAACTTTTACACAAAAATTTAATTTTTGTAGAGTGAAACCACACGTGTATTAACCTTTCTATCAGTTGGCTTTTTGTTGTTATGGGTATTTGGTGGATTTCATTTTTTAGTATATCCCATAGATTCTCTATGGGATTCATGTCGGGCGAGTTTCCTGGCCAAGGAAGAACCTGGACAGCATTTTGTTGGAACCAAGTCATAACTTTTTTGGATTTGTGGCAAGGTGCAGAGTCTTGCTGGAAAATCCAGAAGTCTGACCCATACCATTCCCTAATTTGTGGCACTAGTCGAGATTCTAGCACCTTAATGTACTTGTCCTGGTTCATTGTGCCATCCACGATGTACAATCGACTGGTTCCATGGACCGAAAATGCCCCCCATACCATTATTTTTTGAGGAAATTTCACAGTCTTCTTCAAACATTCTGGCAAAAATTCTTCCCCGGGTCGTCGACGTACGGTTTGGACCCTATCATCCAAAATTGCGATAGTCGACTCATCAGAAAACACAACCTGAAACAAAATTAACTGCTAGAGAAAGTAGAGAGAGAGTGCCTTACCTCTAAGTTAAAATTTGAAAATTATTGTTTATTAAATACGTATTATTATAATGTTACAAGACCCCATCACAACTAAAATAATTAATAAAGACAAAAGTAATTTAACTGATTATCATTCCTAAATGTATTTAAGATTAAAAAAACCATTTTTACCTTTTGCCAATCATCATAAGTCCAAGATTCATGCTGCTTTGCCCAATCGTATCTTGCTTTTTTCATATTTTCTGTAAGGCGTGGCTTTTTTCTTGGACGATATGCTTTCAATCCGAACTCTAACAATCGATTGTTTACCGTTTTTCTGCTCACAGAGATTCCTTCTTCCCCTAACATACTGGAAATCTTCGAACATGTTGCTCTTCTATCCTTAAGTGCCATATTTTGGATTTTTCTATCGGTTCTTGGTGTGGTTATTTTTTTCCTCCCACAGTTTCCTTGTCGTTGAGAGCCCACATCAATCCCTCTCTCAATTTTTTTCTTAATCAGACTAACAATTTGTGTCGATATATTTAATTTCCTAGCGATTTCTTTTTGTTTAAGTTCAGAATCTTCTAGTAAAACTTTAATTTGTCCAATTTTACGAGGACTTAAATCACTATTTTTACCCATGACTTTATATACAAAACTAAATGAAATAAAAAAAAATTAAGTAACTTTTTTGGTTTAGATAATATTAAAAAAACTTAAAACTTCAATAAAATGTTATAAAAACTTTAATTCTCAGCGACGACAAGCCCTCGTGACGGAACGCAGCGAACTAACATAAATGTGCATAATATGCATAATTATGACACAACACATAAAAATCGTGTTGCCATCTATAAAATGATAAAAAATGTTGACATTTATGAAAAATATGGTACACAATGAATGTATAGTGAAAATAGAAAGAATTTATGTGAAATATAATACTTTAAATAATAAAATTAACTAAAATTGTTGCATAAATTGTGTTATTTTAAAAAATCCATAATAATTTTTCCAGTACTGTATATTAAACTATATATTATAAACTATATATATTAAACTATATATATTAAACTATATAGTATTAAACTATATAGTATTAAACTAACTATTAACTATATAGTATTAAACTATATATATTAAACTGTAGAACTGCCTAATACTAAACTATAATATTAAGTGTAAAACGCCTATCATAAAATCAAACATCAACTATTTAGTTGAACTAAATTGTTGTTGTGGTTGTTGCTGTTATTTTTTATGTCATAAAAAGTAACAACAACCCAGTTGTTTCACAACAGATATGTTTTAAAACTACAACATATCTAAAACGTATATATATATATATATATATATATATATATATATATATATATATATATATATATATATATATATATATATATATATATATATATATATATATATATATATATATAATATTTTAATATTTAATAAATACATCAGAATGGAACAAAATAATTCATTTTTAAACAAACATAAAAATGTTCTAAAAAGCAAAGAGTTTAAATTAAAATTTAGTGATAGTATTGGATTGGATTGGAAAACTCTTGGACATTGGTTAAATATTAGAGACAACTGTTTAGATATGATTGATCAAGATAATACTAAAATTGATGCAAAAGCTTATTTAATGTTAACTAAATGGATGCAAATTAATGAGAATCCAACGCTTGAGGAGTTAAAAGTAGCGTTAAAGAGCACGGAGAGAATGGATTTAATAAAAAAAATAGATCAAATAGCAAGTAATTGTTTTTATTTATTACTAATTTTTCTGCTATAATATTTTTAATATTTATATAACTTTCTAATATTTTATTTTTGTGATATAGTAAATCAAAAGGCTGTGGAACATTATCTATTACATACTGTTTTTAAATGGATTGCTCATTTATTAACATTGTCACAAATTCAAAAACTATTTAAAGAAAAATTAAAACATTTCTGGATTTGAAATCAAATTTTTAAACATTATACCAATTTTTCTGAATTTTCTTAGCTGTTGGAAATAAAAACTTTATAATTATCTCTCTTCGCAAGATCTTTTTCAATTAAAAGGATAAGATCCTGTTCCATCTTAGCTATAAGAAAAAATTTTTGATCAGCGCATGCTAAAGGATCTCTTACAGCCACATATACTGGCAATGTAAGAAAAATACCTAAACAGATACATTTCCTGGCTTTGTCAGGAATGGTCAATGTCTGCCTCCACATCTGTGTATACTGATTTTTGTAGGAATAATAAAACCTGCACAAAGTATGATTCTGATAAAAAAAATGTTAAGCATTGATGTTTTATTTATAACATTTCTAACATAATGTGATTTCAACATGGATGGCAAACTTCAAGTTCATACTGTTTCTTTTTTAAATTATAAGTTTAGAATAAGTTAAAAAAAGTTAAGAAACAAATGAAAAACAAGTTCAAATATTATTAAATCAAAAAAAAAAAACTCAAAAAGTAAAATGCACTTTACTCGGAGCAAAAAAAAGGATCAGTGTAACTTTAAAAAATTATTTTCATAATTTTACAAGTATCTAACTTATTTTTCCAAAATTTAATTACAAATGTCTTTTTAAAAGATTATTAAAAAGTTGTTGTTTTACAAAATAATTGATTACATAATGTTTTTTTTATAAGCATATAAAATTTTTGAAACAGGCTCGGGTATGCTTAAGCAAAAAGTTAAAAGAGGCTCAAAAATATGCTTAAACTTAAGCATATTTATAATAAAATATGCTTATTTCAATACTTTCTAAAAATGCGTGCCTTACTAAAGGTTAATGGTTATAAGAAAAATAAAAAGTCGACTTTTGTACAGTATAATAAAAAATATATACTATATACAATTGTTATCAAAGAAATAATAAAATAAATAAAATTTGAAATAATTGAAATAATAAAATAAATAAAACTTGAATTTTTTAAATGGTTTATCGAGGCTCAGGAATATGCTTACATATGCTTTTTTTTTTTCCAAATCTGAGCCTCCATATGCTTATAAATGTTATGCTTATAAAAAAAAAACATGTATATTATAACATTTTTATATTATTACTTATTTAATTAATAATTAAATTATTAAATCAATATATAATTAGTAACATAAAGATTAAATAGGAAAAAAACTTTTAGATGAATTAAAGAATTTTTTTTTGAAATGCAAACCTGTTTTTCTGTTTTTTTATTGCTAAAAACCAAATCTTTTTACTGTCCATAGAATGTAGAAGGAACAAAATAAAAATCAGTGGAAATATCAAAAATTATCATCAACACACACACACACCATATATATATATATATATATATATATATATATATATATATATATATATATATATATATATACATGGCAAAATATATACAGTAATTGAATGTACATATATCAACTGAGGGTTTATATTTCAGACTGAGCAGTCTTTTAATCAATAGAAATGTTTTTCAAGCAACCACTATTAGATTTGAAGTTATTAGAAGAGAAAAGATGAAGTTTATAAAGCAAGATAATGATAAACAGACAACTTAAAAAATTGCAAATTTTATGAATCAGGAAAACAAGGAAAAGGGTGTAAATTCCAAAGAACTGATATTTGAGCAAAAAAACTAGACAAATAAGAATTTTAGGAGCACTTAGGAAAAGCCATAGTAAAACGATAAGACTTGGTTGAATGAAGAGTAAAACAAGAATGAAATTTAGTAGATAAAGCAAGAGATGCTAGCTCTTAAGAGCAGGGCCCATTAAAGTTTTTATAGAAAAGAGAAAAAGAAGCAACATTGCATCAATGTGACAATGTTTGAAGGCCCAACTATGTTTATAATTTGTTTTTGCACCTTATCTAAAAGAGAAAGAGCATCAAGATCTACTCCAGATATGGCAACAGTATTCAATACTAGGAAGGATAAAGAATAAAATAAATAGAGATAAAGAATAGAATCCAGAGTAAGAAAGTGATGAGCAGGATAAAGAGATGCAACCTTAGTAGATGCTAATTTAGCAATGGATTTAGTATATGGTTTCCAAAAAAGATGTGAAGTAAGAGTTAATCCTAAAAGACAAAGAGTAAATGACTCAAGTAAATTATAGTTTATAAATATAGAAAAATCTAGATTGTTGCAATAATGATTAGCAGAAAGTTTTATCTGAGTTAAAGTTCACCAGCCACTAAGAGCCCTCCTGCAACAGAAGTGAGATCCTTTTCAAGCTCAAATGCCCTCTCTAAGCAATCAAAGATTGATGGCTTCTTATCACGACAAGAATTAATGATAGAATGATTAGCAAACAATGCTACCTAAAATCTGATATTTCGCTATTCTATTTTATAAAAAGTATAGGGCCAAGGAGAGAACCCCTAAAGTTATAGGAAATGAAGAAGAAAGCTATTTATCGAGGATAACTTTTATACTACAATTGGTAAGAAAGGATTTAATAATCTTAAAGATGTTACCTGATAAGAAGAGAGCTAATGGAGAAGACCAGCCTGCTTGATGATCAGAAAGTAAGTTATTAGCTTTAAGGTAAGAGATTAAGTTTTTGTTAATTAAAGATTCAAAAACCTTGCTTATGATAGGAAGAAGAAGAATAGGGCGGTAGTTGGCCAAGTCAGATCACTCTCTACAATTTTTGTAAATAGGGATTACAGATGCTGCTTTCCAGCAGAACGGAAAACAAAACTTTGATTAGCAATTGTTAAATAGTTTTGAAAGTAAACACTGAAAGACTTTAACAGGTATGCTGTCTGGACCACAAGCTGTAGAAGAGTCGAAAAAAGAAGTCACTTTAGATACAGAACTGGAGTGACACAAATATTAAGCAATGGATCAACCTGTTTGTCTGCTATATTAGGTAAGATGTGATTAATGGAATCAAAAGATAAGATTAATGAAAAGTTCTTAACAAACACGTCAGCTTTCAGTCTTTAAGTGAGATAACAAAATTTGACCTTATTATAGACACTTTTAAAGAATCTCTAGAAGTCTCTGGAACCAAATTTTAGAGATTAAATATGAGATTTTGTGATATGAAAAAAGTGGGCTTTGGCATTAGATAAAATCTTTTTACAATTGGTGCTATTAATAGTAAACAGACATCTATTTTTTGTAGAATTGTTTTAGAATTGTCAAGAGAAAATAAAAGATTCCATGAATCTAAGAAAATTTGAATTTTAATAAAACAATTTGAAAAGTCAACTCCAATTACTGTACAATTGATTGCGTCAATTTTACAGTAATTAGAGTTGACTTTTCAAATTGTTTTATTAAAATTCACTTTTTGAATTGACTTGTGTTTTAGAAGAATAATGTAGACGAAACTTTGTTTATGGCTTTATCAGTTAATGATATAGCAAATAAATAAATAAAAATAATAATATAATTGTTAAATAAAAATAGTAAGGTAGTTTTTAGGCTACAATAATAGTTAATGCACATTAGTATAAAATATTATAATGTTAGATAACCTTCACTGCAACAACTAATTGCTAAAATAGTTATTTAAATTTATCAAAAATCTTTTAGGAGGTTGTTTGTCTTTTTAGTCACTGTTAATTTATAAAACTTTATTTTGATATATGAGTAAATATACAAGTTCAAAAAAGAATATATGTAAATTCTACTTCCCCTTAACCTAATTAAGTCAGTCAAAAGACGTACTACTGCCATGTACTGGGACAACAACCATATCAGTCAATTTATATATGCATTAATTATTATACTGTAAAATTTTGAAAATTATAAATAATATTTAAATATAGATATATTTAAACAACAATTTTTTAAATTATAAAATGTTTAAGTATTAGAAGTCAATGTGATATTCAATTTTGATAGTAATTTAACTATTAGATTGATAGAATAATTATAATTATCCTTAAAGGTTAAAAGTAATAATTTTAATTAACTATACTATTTATTACCTAGATTCTTTAAATCCACTTGATATTGATAGCAGAATTTATGCCAAGAAAGGTAATTTAGTATAACAATAATGGTGATGATGATGATGATAATGATGACATGATGATGATGATCATCATCATCATTATGATGATGATGATGATGATGATGATGATGATAATGATGATGATGATGATGATGATGATGATGATGATGATGATGATGATGATGATGATGATGATGATGACAGGCATGCGGAGTCCCAAAAAAGACTCCAGATTTAAAAATCAAAAAAACTTCTTCTAAGTTTTTGGTATCCAAGAGCTTTAAAAATATAAAAAAGTGTTTGGGCTACAGAAGAACAATCGATTTTTTTAAGGACTCCAGGGCTCCGGAATTAAAAACAATAAGTTTCAAGTCATTAAATATCATAACTTTTTTTCTTATAGCAGATCATTATTTAACCAACATGTTTAGAACTTCTGGAAACCAGAGACCATAAAAAAAATGAAGTTATAAAACCGGAGTCCTTTTAGGACTCTGCATCTCTGGATGATGATGATAATGATGATGATGATGATGATGATGATGATGATGATGATGATGATGATGATGATGATGATGATGATGATGATGATGATGATGATGATGATGATGATGATGATGATGATTATGATGATGATGATGATGAATTTTTTATTTAGGTATATCAGAGATATGCACAGCACTGAAAAATTATTTTCTTGTAAACTATAAGAAAATAAATGAAATTCAACCACCTTTAAAAGCACTGGCATTTGTTGATCTAATACATAACTTTGTTGATCTATGTATTGTTGATGCTGCAAATGCTCAAATGGATACTGTTTTTAGTGTTGAGCGAAAGGGATTTTTTGAAAAGCAAATGAGTTATACACCAATTCCATATAGCAAAATATTTATGAAAGAACAATCTACTATATTAATATCTGGATTAATAATTTAATTTGGAAAAATGTTGAACTTGTGTTTTATTTTGAATGCAGGAGGCTTAATCAACATCAAAATGTTCCAAATATCAATGAATTACTAAATATTTTCTACTATGATATTATAAATGGTTTTAATATTAGTGATCATACTGCGCTGTTTATAATTGATGGATTAGATGAGTTTAAATATTTAAATGAGTTAATAAATCCAAGTTCAACTTGTAACCATCCAATTGTTAATGCTTTAGCAGAAATCCAAAAATACAAACATGTAATTGCTGGTAGAGTTTATGCTATTGATCAATACCAAAGTATATCTGCAGAGCATACTGATAAGTCAACCATCCAAGTAATGGGTTTTAATGAAAATGGAATTAACAATTATGTAGAAAATAATGTTAAAGAAGAAATAAAAGAAGTTATTAAAGCAACTTTGAAGGAGTCGCCAATTGCAAAAGCCATGGCATCTGTTCCATTTTATTTATCTTCCATGTGTAAAATTATTAGTGACTCAAAAAAAGTATATACAAATTCCTTCCTAACTATGACAGATTTGTATGCAAATATTTTTTTATACTTTTTGCAAAAACATATAATCAAAAGCAATAAATTGATATATGAGATAATGGAAGACAATTTTCATAAAAAATATATTTTAGATATTTGTAAAATTGCCTATGAATTGTTTGTTGAAAATAAAGTAGTTTTTTCTAAAGAAGAAATACAAAATTTTATTAGTGACTTTGATCAAAATGATGGTAATCTTTTTGGATTTATTGAAAAGATTGAAACAAATCTGGGCTGTCATTATCAGTTTGCACATTTGACAATAATGGAGTTTTGTGCATCTCTATATGCATATAATTGTTTAAGTCGTAAAGAGATTATGGCCAATGAAAAGCTAAAGAATTGTTTATCAATGATTTGTGGATTAACAAATAAAAGTCAAAATAGTTTGTTAAAGTTTCTTGTTAACCTAAATTCTTCAAGATTTAGTAAGTTTTAATATTATATTTAAACAATTTTTAACTATTTTTTACAATTATGATTATAATATTATATTGTACTATTATTAGTCATTTTAAATTAACTTTCATGTATTCAATACTAAATGAAAAAATATATTTCTGCTCTGAATGAAATAATTAAATTAAAAACAAATAAACAAGCGTTCAAAACTAAATTCTATGTAGCGAATATCACAACATAACAAACTATTTAAATTCTAAATAAAATAGTTCAATTTAAAATCAAAAAATCTAATATTTTAATTGAATTCTAAATTAATATAATTCGAAAAAATCCAGAAAACCTTTTTTTTTTTCTAATTCTGAGAAAGATAAAAGTTATAACATTTTAATTAAATTCTTATTACAAACTTTTAATTTAAATTTAAAAATTAACAGTTAGAATACTCAATTAAAAACAAAAAACATTTAAGATCTAAATAAAACAAAAAACATATCTCAGGACTATCAAGTCCCGAGACATGTTTTGTTCATACTAAAGAGAATGTTAAAAAAAACGTCTAAGCAAATTTTTTTTTGATTAAAACTTATTAATAAATGTATACCAAGAAAAACAAATCTTATTGTTTTAGTCAAAGCTTGTCTTCTCTATTTTCTGCGGTATTTAGAGTCTGTAAAATAAACACAAATTTTCCAGGCACATTATACAGGCTTGATAATTTATTCAAGTGATTCATAGAAGTTTTAGTACATGACATTATAGATGTTTTTGTTTGTTTGTTTAAAACACCGATTATTATTTTTTACATGCAATTTCCAAGTCATATTCATTTTTATTATATTTTAAAGTTCTAAAATGTGTTTGTAAAAAAATCAAAAACTAGCAAATTTTTTAAAATAATTAACTAGACCACATGTATTTTGATTTCTTTTGTTATAAGTTTTTCTTTCAAAATATTAGATAAAATAATTTTTAACCTAAATAATAATGCACTTTTATTAATTTACTTTGTAAATATTTAAAAATTGTTAACGCATTTTTTCTCTGATTTTCCAAAATGTATTTTTTGGTATTGAGATGATCTTATTTCATTATTTATATTTCCATTATTATAATATCCATTATATATTATGGCGGGGGTTTAAAAATTAAAAAATTAATATATATTAATTTTTATTTTATGGACATACATGGAAACATAATTAACTTGAATGTTCTTAAAACATCTTGTGTAAAAAAAAAAAGAATATTTGTGAACAATAAAAACCCGCCAAATTTACAAGCAAACTAATTCTATTGGTTCAAAAAATACGCTGACTAAGCGAAATAAAGTTCTAGAGTATTCTGTTGAAATGTTTTAGGAATTGTATTATTTACGATTTGTTGCGTTTTGAGATATCTAGCATAAACTTTTTAAAGAATATATTATCAAATAAACTATTACTTTAATATTATGGCTCATTCTCGGAGCCACGTCTGCAAAGCTGTAAATCTTTTAAATTATTATCAATTATTTACAAAAATAAATGTTTTATAATATATATTTTTTAAATTGTCAAAATTTTGATAATTAATTACAAATTATATTTTATATTAGTATATTCTCAGGTTTGGACAGGAATGGTGTGCGATCGCACTCTTTAACTGACCACGCTAATATTGCTTTTTCTTTACAATTTGACCACTACAATTTTAATGTTTTAACAATTTAAATGCAATAAAAGAAAGTGTTACGTTATGAATAACTTTTAATCGTTGATCTTTGCTAAAGTTTTTATTTTAAGAAAAGCAATAATAAAACCATAAAATTAATTATAATGATAGTTTACATAAACGTATGTGTTATTTAATAAAAAATTTTATACAAAAATTTTAATATTAATAAAAATCTTAAAAAAAAAAATTATATTTTTTGAAAGTTTTTTTTTCAATTACCATAGGAATGAATGAGTTTAAATTTTTTATAATAACTTTTAAATTTGTTACGTGAAGTGCTTATTATTAAATTTGTAATGCTCAAATAAATTGTTTGTTGGCAGTTTATTTTATTTAAATTGCAGAGGCATTTTGTTATTTATTTTTTCCCCTATAAAAAATTAGTTTAAACCTTTTTTTTAACTAAACTTACAAATTAAAGCTTGAAATTATTAAAAATTACATACAACATTATATACAACACTTTTTAATAAATTTGATAAAATTTGATCATTTATTAAACAATCATTAGAGGTAATTTATTACTTAATTTAAAAGCGTTTTGCATAACATTAATAAAACGTTTAAAAAAATAAGTTTTAATAACATTTATTTCAATTAAATACGTAACTAAATGTTTCGCTTCAAGTTCAATTTTTTATTTTATTTTAGCGCTTATATAATTTCTGTTTTGTAATAAATTTTTTTATTTTTTTATTTTATTTTTTTGTTGGAATTTTTTTTTTAAACTTTTTTTTTTTTAGTTTAAGTTTAGCTTAGCGTTTCTACATTCACTGCATATCTAAAATGTTTAAATCATCAAAACATATAAACAATCGTGGTCATGTTGTCAAAAAATAAAATCATTTGCATGGTCAATAATAACGCTCGATCGCACGCCATTCCTGTCCAAGCTTGTATTCTTATTTTTTATATCTTTTCCTAGTGCTTGGTTTAATTAATTGTTCATTAGATTTGTCGAAACAACTTGCATCAAAATGTAAAGAACACACTCGTAAATCATCAGAGATATTATATAACTCGATTTGGCACCATAGAGGTCCCTAGGTCCACCATCGCCGTGGCCTAAAAAGTTTTTTTCAATGTGAAAATTTTAGAAAATAAAATAACTAACTATAGTTAGCTATTTTAGTAAATTTTAATAATAAAATTTTCAAAGAAATTCTATAATGTTTACAATGACGTCATGTACTAAAACTTCTATGAATTAAGCGCACTTAAATAAATTTTCAAGTCTGTATAATACGCCTGGAAAATTGCGTTTATTCTACAGACTCTAAATACTGCAGAAAATGGAGAAGACAAGCTTTGACTAAAACAACAAGATTTGTTTTTCTTAGTATACATTCATAAATTAGTTTTGATCAAAAAAAATTTGCTCAGACGTTTTTTTTTTAATATTCTCTTTAAAATGTACACAACATGTCTTGGGACTTGATAGTCCCTTTAAGGTTGATAGTTAGGTCAACATTGCTTAATGCTGACTCTACTGCTGAGGGCTAATATATATATATATATATATATATATATATATATATATATATATATATATATATATATATATATATATATATATATATATATATATATATATATATATATATATATATATATTATATATATATATATATATATATATATATATATATACATATATATATATATATACATATATATATATATATATATATATATATATATATATACATATATATATATATATATATATATATATATATATATATATGTATATATATATATATATATATATATATACATATATATATATATATATATATATATATATATATATATATATATATATATATATATATATATATATATACATATATATATATATATATATATATATATATATATATATATATATATATATATATATATATATATATATATATATATATATATATATATATATACAGGCCACGGCGGGAACAAATGAGCACGAGAGCTGAGAAAAGCTCTCCTAAAACGAATTTGGGAAGCTGTGCGAGCTGCTCCTCATTTAAATTAGCACTCTTTTGTAATTTTAATTATACCTTCATAAGTAAAATTATACTTTTGCAAGAGCCGTAAATTGCTCCTGTAAACTGTTTTAGGGGAGTGTGGGCGAGAGCGAGAGCTAAAGCTCTCGCTTCCCGCCGAGGCCTGATATATATATAATATATATATCAGAAATTTCATAGTATAAAGATTTGTTTATTTAGTTAAAAAATATCTTTGGTTGAAGCTTTTTTATTATAAAGAAGTTTAGGTTGAACTAAAATAATTTCTAAATATTGATAAATATAATTAAAATTTTTTTGTAACATCATTTACATTTTTGTACTAAGTTAAAGATTGCTGCATTTACACAAGATAAACAAGTGTAAATTTATTACAGAAATAGATCAAAAAGTAAATATTGTCAAACAAACGTAAAACACTTAATAACAATGTAAACAAATGTAAAACTAAGTTGAAAGTCCTAACCTTATTTTAAATACAAAACCACCCATAGATAAACTACTCAAGGTGTTTATTTTCTAAGCAATAGTTATCCAAGTTAACTAGCAAAACTGTAAAACTTTTAGCAAAAAAAGTAAGAACACAAACAAGCACTTCTAAAAAACTGGGAAGACCTTTTTACATCAGTTCATGCTCTTGTTCTGATACTGATATTTAATGCACAAGTAGCCCAGATAAAAAGAGACATTGTTTTTTAATTTTTTTTTATAATCATTATTTTTAAATAACAAAATAAAATAAAAATCTTTTTGAATAAAATAAAGACAAGTTTCAAATACTAGTTTCATACTAGTACGATAAAGTATATTATTATGAATTTTGTATAAAGTTGCTTGATATTATCATTTAATATTTATATTCCTGTCAAAGACAGATTTTATTCAAAAAATAGAGTTAGATTTGGTGCAAAAAGATCATTTTAACTTGATCATGAATGGCCAAGAACAATATTTTTCATATTTTAAACAATCACTGCAACAAGAAAATAGTTACAAATTAGCTCTAGCTCTAGTGTGGTAACTCACTTGAGTTTTAGTTTTGAATTAAAAAGCTGAGTTTCTGCTTTGATGGAATTTATATAGTTGAAGTCAATCAGTTGAATTTTGTGATTTATTTAAAAATTCATTTCTTGAACAAAAAATTTTTACATAACTTTATAATTTTTCTCATAGATATGGAGCCTGAAAGAAAATCATTAGGATTTTACAATCTTTGGAAGTTTCCAAAGTATGCTATTGATTTGATTAGATATGATACAGGAAGTTTGATTAGAGCTACACAA